TGACGTTGTTCACAGTTGCCACCAGCTGCCATTCATCACCGTTGACGAAGGTGCCCAAAACGCGGTCACGAATGTTTGATGAGATACTCTGTCGAACGCGAGAAGGCATGCAGACGACGTTAGAATCATAGACATGGTATCGGTCGTGCGCTTATGTTCCAGCTGTTCATTGCTCTCGGAGCAATTGTGACCCATCGTTTCGGAATTGAGGGAGGCGCATGCAAGCCCGTTGCATCGTCAAAGTGCATTCCTCCATGGTTCATTCAGAAGTCTCACCCAGTCAACGGGCAGCGCGCTCACCTCCACAGACTAACGTACCGAACCTTGGCATCCGGCCAATGAGAACAGACTTAAGGTTAGAGAATTGGCTCTGAGCGGCTAACGAATCGCACAGGGTTTTGCAAAATTTTGGACTTTCTTTGCAAAATTTTGCTCCTTCTTTGCAAAATTTTGAACCTTTTACGCGATATTGTGGGAAATGCGATAGTTCGCGTCTACCGTAACGCCCTCTTGTGCGTGTCCTTTCCTAGGGCTCAGGTTTTAGCCGAGTACATGCGGGAAACATTGTTCTCACGCTCGCTCAATTTACGTCCCCCCTTGGCCTAAGCTAACGCCCTCAGCTCAAGGCAAAACCGATCGGCCAGCGTTCCAAGCCGTTACTGTAGGCATGCTCCAACCGTGCCAGTGACAATCTTAGCAGGCATGCGCTCAATCGTAACAGTCGCTTAAGTAGATAGTTTCGAAATTTGTTAACTTTTTCGCGTTGGTAGCATTTTTAGAGATATCTTTTTCTGACATCTTGCACTCAACGCAGATCTGTTGATAACCAATTTAGTTCCTATGTTCATTTAGCGAGGAGTTAAGTCAGTTTATCCGTATGCTATTTTCGCTTTGATGTTGTCATTTCAAGTTATTAGCTGTTGGTTGACATCCCCAGTGTGGCGATTGATTTGCATGTTGACAAGGTGCCTACCTGTCTAACACCCTCCAACTCGATTACTGGATCTAGGAGACTGTGAATCGTTGCTAGGGGCGCACGGTCCCTTTGGCCGTGCTAGACTCAAATAGTGGTTCCATGCACTTAGTTTGGAGCGGACTACGGTCCAGCGCCGGCCTCATTTGCGCTTGAATCCCCAAGTACAGCGTGCTTTTGTTCGCCTTTGAACAATTGTGGACCTGCACCGTTGTTGAAATGTGGCGTCCTTCCACATACCACCCGGTCTTATTCCTTCCGGATTACACAGGGTCTGGGGTGTGCGGGTAGAACTGTGGGTGGTGCAGCGCAAGCCACTCATGGTCCGTCTGTAAGCGCAGGTGTCCTGTGGCTGTCCCGTGCATGCCACAGTGACGGGCACATCCGGAACCGGATCCCGCCAAACATATGTATGTAGATGTATACCACCGGCAAACTGCACCAACATTCCAGAATCGACATCAAATTCCGTAAAAGGAAAGCAGTACGATAATGCGAACCAGTGGTAAGTCATATGTGACACTCTGGTTGTTATAGCTAAGTTCGCCAACTTGAGGCGGGTCTAACGTCACCCGAAATCAAAGAACTACGGTGGACAGCGGTATATTGACTTGAGCTGATAAAGCAGAGACTATTCCTTTATAGACAGCTCGCCTCCTCAATGGATCATGTTCCATCCGCATCTTCCTACATATTCCGTAGAGTGAGTGTAAACATGCGAAGCACGACTTCGAAGCGTACTGGAAGGAGTCCGTAGCCAGAGCCATCCTTGTACACAGTGTTTCTGATGTTGGTGAACATGGTGAGCGTAAAACGGCCACTCACGACTGGAAGCAGTGGTGCTACAATTTCCAGACCCTGTCCCTGGAACACCATGGCGCACTAAATCTCGAGGCTGCGCAGATCACCAACTTACAAAGGATGTGCCCAGAGGATTGTGAATGTAGTGATTCAATCCAAACAGATATCAAAGAGTGTATTGGAGGTTTGACATGTGGTGCGCTGCAGCCTAGGTTTAAGCTCCGGAGCAAAGCGGCGTCTCCTAAGCAAATATATGATAGCAGCGATTTAACCTAAGCACTTCTCGACAACCGTTTGGATAACATAATTGAGGTAGCCGACGAAACTGGTGAACACACTCCACAAATTAGATAAAAGACGTGGGCAAGAAGAAAGCAACGAGAACCTTGGAGCCGACCCAATGAGTCCGTTAACACCCCACCCGAAAACCAATTAGTGTCCTACCTTTCACCGGTAGGCACAACAGTACATCCATTTCTAAACTCACTCCCAAGAGTAGAGGAATTTCCATGTATGCACAATAACGCACAAGATCTTGTGAACAACCTTTCCAAAAGACGGGTACGTCAAGCATCAAACGCCTGGGACCACATATTGGTAACGGAAATCTGGTTATACTCAGAAATTTTTAACGCCGAGGTCTCAATACAGTGTATGTTCTTTTTTAAATACGACCGCCACAAGAAGGGCGGTGGAGTTCTTTTTACCTTACCACAACGACCTGCAGTGAGAACCGGTGGACGATTCGAAAATGTTGATCACAGACTCACTGTGAGGTAGTGTGCGACTGAGACGCAACGACACCTGCATTGTGGTACTTTTTTATCATCCCCCAATCTTCAATCCAGAGATGGACTTTCGCCATTAGCCTTGGAGAGGGTCTTGCAACGACAATACCGCTATGTTCTCAACCCAGGTGACTACAATGTTCACGATCTGAAAGTTTCGACATCCTCAGTGTGCAGTACAAGGCCGAAATGCAAGCGTTTATTGCGCACATTGAGCTCTTCAGTCATGTCAGCTCGCCCACCCGATTCAGAGTGAGAAATAAACCATCAGTGCTTGAATTAGGGCTCAGGAACGAAGAATTCCTGATCGCTGAGCCGAAGATGGAGACCTTTTGGGCTGAGTGATTAGGTAACAATGATTTGCGACTACGTGTTTAGTACGGAGTATCCACCAGAACTTACTGATACGATTCGGACAATCGCACTCTAGGACACACTAACAGAATTTGTTGGAGGAGCCATCCTGCAGTCTTCAGCTAAATATCCTGCTGTGAACAGCCTACGGAAGGTGAAGCGTGGTGTATCCCCCTCCTTTCAACAAACGGATATGATCAGACCGTCGAGGATGCAGCCAACGTTCTAAAGCTACAATTTGCTCCAATGTCCCGACGTGCCACCAGTATTTAGCACATACTTGTGATATTCACCCAGACGCCAATATGTACACAAGTCACCTCTAGTTCAGCGATAGTTTTGAAGACGTTACTATCGAGCGCACCCATAGTTCCCCCGTAGCTGACAACATTTCCCCGAAACCACTGCAGTTGGCAGCTAGGATGACGGCTGATATTAACCGAATTTTGCATGTTATCCAGATGAATAGCAAGTTTGCTACATGCGGAAGCAGGTTATCACTACCCCAATTCGCAAGGATGTTAGCCGTTCGGAGCCCACTACCTAGCTAGCCAGTTGTTCTCCTTCCGGTGAATCTCAAAGGTGATGGGGTCAATCACAGTCAATTCACTAATGAGCTACCTTGATATGCAGCACCGAAGCGACACGGATTTCGTCAGTATCGCTCATGAAGTACAAGTATACTAATTGAGCGCTATACTTGGACCAAAATAGCCGATAGTGGGATCGACACCGATGTCATCTACCTAGACTTTTCTAAAGCCATCGACGATTGGATCACCACATCCTTCATGAAAAGCTGCAGGCGTACTAAATCGGGAACACTGTTCGTGAATGGAGCGAAAATTTCCTTCTTCAATAGTAGCATCAGACTTGGGTTCGGGGATAATTTGTTAATGCTATTGATGTGAACTGCCGTGTTCCAGAATTGCCATTGGTGGAGCCGCGTTTATTATTCCTTTTCATTAACGAGATTGCGCGTGTCATCAGATCGAATTTCTGCTTTTTGTTGACTAGATCAAGATATGGTGGGCCATCAGAAGTCAGAAATAGCACTATTCGCTGTAACGAGACTTAGGCCGTGATTTCGAATGTCTAAAGAGAAAAACACTTCCGTTCGCCGTACGCAAGCGCGAAGCTATACCTGTACGCCAAAAGCGCACTAACTCATAAAGGCCGGGAGACCACATCTTGAAAACCATATCACAGCAGCGAGACCTGAGGGAGTAATGCAAGGTGACCCCGACTGTTCGGCACAGTCTTTGAAGGTATCTAAACCCATTAACCAACATGTTGGTCTCTTACGGAGGGCGTTCGGGTGGTTCGGCCCCTTCATCTTCCCACAAAAGCTCAGTAGGTATACAAGCCCATGTAGACTACGGGAGTAATGCCTGCAAAACCTTGCTAAAACGTGATCTACTTGCACTGTAGTATCTCCAGCAAATGGTAACCCAAATTTGAGTTGCTTCCTCCAGTTGCCATACCACCTGCGACTGAAAATACAAGCAGGTTACAGCAGAAGTTACCACGGTCAACGGGGCGAACTAATTCTGGCCTAAAAGATGTTGAAAAACCTCGGTCATGCCTGCCGTCACCTGAAACTTAGCTCCAACACAAAAGTAAGAGACCACCAGCTGAACCTGGTCACCCAATATATTTAGCTGGTGTTGTTGAATTATTTTTCTGTTAGTATTTGTCGACGGTGGAGTGCTCTTCTGACCTTTATTTCTGCGCCCACGTTACTCAATTTTTAAAAAAGGAGTTGAAGATGCCTTACACCATCTGTATTACTTGAACTGGATTCCTTACGTCGAGTGACAACCAGAAGTAGACAACAGTTTACTCACTGATCTCCACTAAATCGGAGCAAACTGAAATAAATTTGTGTTAATGTGGATATAATGGTAAGTCTAAAGGACCTGTCAAGTCTTGGGCCTTTTTATCCCTTATATACCACTTTCAATTGTTCCAAAAAGGTATATTCGAAAATCAGGAACTGCTTCAAAAGGTGAGTGAACCACTGTTGCAACCGTGTGCCACATAGAAATGAAACTTCCCGCAGTAAAACGGTGTGTAGGTCTTACCATCAGGATTGCACGGATGAGTGCCAGTTGTAGGCGAGCCGATGTGTTATCCATCAGGGTAAGTAAGGCCTGCAAAAGCAGCGGGCGCTGAGGCCAATCCGATTTGTTTTCTAGTCCGCCACATTGTAGAGAAGCAGATAAGCGGTCCACGAGTTGAACGATTTCGTCTTCCGTAGGCTCAGTCACGTCACCTGCCTTCGACGCATGTGGAAGCAGTGAACATGTGTCAAAAGATCGAAGGCCATCTGCTGGTGAGACCTCCGACTTATCATCGCGGTGGACACATGATGGTAAAATTATGTTTGACAGTTCCATTATTTCTGAAACCAAGTAATCCAACTCCGTCCAAGATGACAACCCAGAGTCTCCAAGTTCAGATGAGTTCGCTTGGGAGCTTGGCATTCCCACACCTGGGACAGACGCTCTTTTGCCAGCAAAGCACCCTGAACGAATCTAAGGGATAAATTATTGAACAGCATTTAAGGGGTGTTAACAAAGGTATCTACTTGTTAGTAAAATGAAGCAAATGCCAGTATAGAAGGAGGAATTGAAAAGGTTTGGTTGGTAGCACGGGCTCATTGGAAATGTTTTATTGACTACAAAGCTTATGTTTTACAACAACAAGTTCGAATATTGGATTACCAATTCAGTTTGGACTGAGCGGAATAATCCGAGCTAAGAACCTCATTTGAAACATTCCGATGGAACTTTACTTTTCAGATGACCGGAGTATGCATTGGTAACATCTTAGCTGCAGGCAGCGTTACAATGGCATAAACAATTGCGATCATAGTATATAAAACCTTGCTTATATAAATGGAACCTACGGATGACTTTGATTCAGTGATTAACCAGATACTTAAGCTAAAAGCTCCTAGTCACCAACAACACTCCGGGCCACGTAAATGTTAGCCGTGATATATTTGAGAACATAACCTCAGTATGCACTTCCGCAATGCAGTAGTGATATAGGTAGAATGAGGTAGGAAAAGTAATGCGTCATGAGCCAGCCTTCCGTGCCCTCTTCCCTGACTGCGAATAAACGCAAGCACGCGTAAGAAAATAAATTAGTCTGTGTGTGTGTGCTTCGTCATTCCTGGCATTAAGATCATCATCCAAGTCCCAAAAAGTTTGATAGCACGCCATACTCAGAGTTCAAGTTACGCGCTCGATGTTCGCTACAACAGTTAGGCTTAAGGCAGAAGTCCAATGACCGCGTTCATTTACCTACCATGGCTCGCTTATGGTGAACGCTGGTCATTTACGGTTGTTGTTCCCACCATCCAATAGCCATCTGATGTCTAGCAAAATTCGCAAAATGCCACCGCGCGTGCAGAAACACCAGTATCTCTCTCACCTTAGTGGTGAGGACGTATGGAATTCTCGGCAGACGAGTGATTTAGTGCGGGACTCAGCTGAATGCAAACGTAACCTGGGTGAAGACACACCGACATGAGGCTGTTTTGGTCATCGAGCAGGATGAGCACAGCCAGCCACAACGTGGTTCCGGCGGTCGCTAGCTGTCAGCTAATTCGAGCTGCGTGCTGAAGGCCATGGCTGACCGTAAGCGTTGGAGCGCTCGAGGGTTATCTGTGTGTCTCGCTGCCTACGCAGCGAAGTCGAAGAGCGTGTAATAAAAACTGCAGCGTGAATGTGCGCACGTGATGGCATCTCAGCTGAGGACGGGGTTGGGCATTATAACTCGTGTCATTGTCATTGAATCACTGCCGCAGGTAATGGAGCATGAGCAGACAATGCAGTCGGGACCAGGTAACGTGCCAGTTACTCAGCGCGCGCTGATTATTTGACTGTACGGGGAATACGGTTTAAGCGCCGCATCACCTACACGAAGGCACGCAGGAATGCGTCCTGTCACCGCCCGGTACGTGCTCAAACTAGTGAAGAAGTTCGACCAAACTGAGAGTGTGTGACATGAAGTGAACCGGACCCCCTCGCATCATCACGGATGACTGTTCAGTTTGCGCTGTAGTCAGTGAAGTGTTAAAAGTCCCGATCTAAGCATTCGTCGGATTACACAGCACTGTGACATGACCCGATGTGCGGTACACCGGATATTACGGGAACGAAAATTTCAAAGCTTCCATGCACTTCAAGTGCAGATTTGGAACCCTTGCGATCCTGAGAAGCGACATGAATTTTGCCGTTGGTTTCTGGATCAGGGGATATTCGTTTTGTTACCTTTATATATGAGGCATTGTTTCATCCGCATGGTACAATGAAACATTGCTATTGGGCTACCAGCGACCCACGAAAATTTACCGCATCATGTATGAACCACAGTGGGAAATTGATGGTTTGGGCTGGATTAACAAGCCAGAAAATCTTGGGCCCATATTTCTTCTCAGGGAAAATGACCGGTAGGTTGTTATTTTGAAGTACTAAAGCCTTATCTTTTACTTGCATCATTGTACTTGGAAATGCTGCAGACATTTGTGCTTCCCCAGGTGGAGGCCGAAGGGGCATGCAGTACCATTCGGTGGCAGCAGGATGGTGCACCTGCACCTTCTGCTAAAACAGTGTGTGCTTACCTCACCGACAAATTTGGTCACCATTGGATCGGACGCGGTGGACCAATTGAGTGGTCTGTTCGCTCACCAGATTTGAACCCCATGGACTTTTTTCTATGGGACTATCTGAAGCGGCGAGTGTAAAAAACAAGGCCGCATACATTGGATTAATTGAAAGGAACTATTGTGAGCGAATGTCGCGCGATCACGAGGGATACACTGGAGAAAGTTTTCACCAATTGCATCAACCGGTTTCCGTACCGCATGCAAAACGCCGGCGGACATTTTGAACATACCCTTCACTAGCATAGATGATCGTCCCAATACATTTCTGTTAATATACGTATCTTCTTTCATAAATGTGTTAACGACTAAACTGGTCCGCTGGCAAATGGTGTTAATAATGCGTCCGGTCGGATAGAATTCTTAACGTCTAGGCTGTCGTTGAGCACATAAACAGCATAGGCACCGAAACGTTCGAGGGCTACCTATGGCGGAATCACTGAGTCGCTATGAGCTGAGGTTCTTCTATCCTTAATGAAAAACCGACTTTGTTGTTGACTCAGTTGCTGGCTATTGCCTGTGGAGTTCATGTTCGGGACGTTGCAGTAGGTGGCGACATGTGTAAATGGGGTCGTTCTGTATCTGGTAGGCTAATATGAAGTCTTCACGCAGCCCTCTGTAGCGTCTACTGAACACTCCGTGTGTTTTTAGTCGCTGCTGGTACGAAGGGTTGCACAATCTCTTGACACACTTTGTTGCTTGACCATAGTGAGTTTCGAGCGCTGCAGGGTCACGCTTTAGCCAAGCCTGGATTACGTATTCGCCGTGGGAACGCACGTAGGCATTGAGGATCATAGAGAAGATGAATGAATCCAAACTTTCGAATGACATATGCAAGCTAACAACGTGCCAGCATCTTTACTCATTCTGCAGGTTTTGTTGGAAAAGGGGACATATTCAGAAAGTTTGTTTTTCCAAACGGAATTTCGTTGTGTGAGGAACGCTTCAAACTGCCAATCACATTACGGAGGATTTAAACCAGAACTAGGTAAACACCACAACAGTTTTTAACCACAACATAACAGCGGAGAAACCTCTAAAGCGGAGTCGACATCTCGCTCAACACTATCCATCAAGTTATCAAATTTGTCAGGTCATCTTCCAAGCTGGGATTTGATGGCATTTCACCAGCCACCATTCAACTAGGAGGACCTGATATACCATTGCTCCTGATGAGCATGTTTACTCTATCGCTGGAAGCTGGCCACTCTCCAGACTAATGGAAAACGTTATTTATTATGCTCGGCATAAAGGAGGTCCCAAACAAACGATTGATAACTACCGACCAATCCACCACACTCCAAGAATTGCTGGGCTATTTGAAAAGCTGGTGAGAATGGAGATGACGATCTTTGTTGATTCCACTGGCCTGATCAACAACGCGCAGCATGGTTTTCTCAATAAGCGATCGTACACCGCCTGTCAACTGCATTACCTTAATCACATTTCAGAATCAATCGATTCCGGCTATGCAGTAGTGATCTTGTTTATTGACATACACCAAGCGTTCGACCGGATACAGCACAAGCGACTGCTGCAAACGTTGGAGAACTTTGGGATCCGGAACCCATTACTAGGTTGGCTATTGTCACACCTGAGTGATCGTCATGAGGTGGTCACTTTAGGTGATTATCGCTGTCCCCCTCGTTCAATCACCAGTGGAGTCATTCAAGGGAGCGTGCTCGGCCCTTTAATCCTTTTGCATTACATCAAGCACATTACCACATCTGTAAAACATGGTACATCATTTTTAGGTTTAATCAAACATGCACACTGCTGACTATTCCCGGGTGGGTGCTACGATCGTACAGTACTTTTCCGGGTTTGTGGATGCTGTCTGACTGCGTCTAGATGTGATGAATTTCTATCTATTCCTTTCAACTACCCTGATAAGCTTAACGCTGACCAAACTGCTTATGATGCCCTATGTTAATGCGCGGCTTAAGTTTAGTAAATTCGTTGCTTGGTATGGGGAACACTCGATCCTCCGCAGGGTTGGAACTTGCAGACCATTGGATAATGCGAGGCGCTACATCACATCCATCAACGTAGTCACGATGGTAACAGGCCTTCGCCGTCGCTCAGTGATCTCAATCACAGATTGACAACAGTCGAATTGCAGGTTCGAGCCCCAAAGTGTTCAGGCAAAATGCGCAATGCTAACAACTCCCGAATGGATGAAATGGCCGTACAGCGCTTTTCCGAGTTTGTGATTGAGTCTAGGTGTGCTGAATTTCTACCTATACCTATAATCTTTCCTTACTAATACCTTGTACTCAGTTAACCTATCAGACACAATCCATTCTACAAACATCTCTTTAAGCTACTCACCTGCCCCATCCTCTAGTACTGCAGCATAATAACACAACACAATAAAGAGTGGCATAACTGCTCTGGAATTCTTGCAGTAATGGTTTACTAGACAAGTGATTGACCAACACTGTACCATTGGTTATCGAGAGTGTTACGACAAAACTTCGGCTCGAAGCACTTTTGATGCGATGCGTGAGGCAAAACCTGTTGCTGCCTTACAAGCTGCTACATAATAAAACTTAATCAGATCTAGGTATACTCCAATTGCAAAAGAACTCAGTTTAAGAGCTTCGTATCGAAGATTATATACTGGTTATACCAAGGCCCAGAACGAGCATGAACTCGAATTTCTTCCTAATCAGATATAGCTATATATGGAATAAAATGTCAATCACGCTCAGACCAAGTGGAATGTGGCAACGTTAATAAACTTGCAGGTCATCTGGATGTGAATACCATAGTGACTGTATTCACATGCGAAAATCCCTGAACGAGCTATTCCAAGGAACCCTAAAAACATCTCATCACCCACGTTTCCAAAACTTGGCTTTGGTCTTACCATCCATTAAATCGCTGTTTTACTAATCTCATTCGTAATATTGCAAACATGCATACCTCCCACACAAAAGTATGTTCCTCTAGTACGTAATTATTGGTGCTGTTGCAGACATGGTTTCTCAGATCATAAGAAATATAGGTAATATTAGTTTTGCTATTGTTATTATACAGCATTGATCATCTATGACCACGCCTGTGACAAGCATGTAGACAGGTTTGGTTCCAGAATTTGCTACGGCTTTTACTAGCCGCTGCCAATCGAGGTGGCAGTTAAACTGTTTGGAGCAGTACCACCGGTTCAACAGCGGTATGGAGATCGGCGTAATCTTACAAGGACCACTTCACAGTCATCCTCTATGTCCTAGTGGTCCAACTTGGTGAAATAAACAGGGCGGTCCTACTTCCGGAACGGTCGAAAGACTGCGCTCTACAGACGGTGCACAACAATGCGCACTTTCTGGACGTACATGCGGCTGTCTAACTGGGAACTAACCATGATAAACTTCTATAACTTGCATTGATGTTTCCCCAAATACCCTTCAGTTCATGTTTATTGACTGACATCCGTCCCACATAACCTTCAATGACGGGATTCCTCTCACGTTGTTCCGCATTCAATGGAGAGATTATGGTTGAATCTGCTAACTCATGATGTCTAACGAGAATGGAACGCACCTTCATTACAGACAAGGAGTAGAGAACTAGCGCGAACAACGGTCAGTCAGTAGTGTGCGTGTGTGCGTTAACGAACTCAGACTGCGGACACGGGATACACTACCAGGTCGAGGGAACGGATGCAGTCAATGCTTGACAGTTGGGCTGAAGGCGAATCAAATGCCACTTGCGCGAGCGAACGATAATCACAAAGGTTAGAAGGACGGCTGAGAATTGGCGTAGTCTAGCATTGGACACGTTCAACTTAGCCCTAGTAATAGTATGAAATGGTTAGATCTATCACAATGGTTGAATAACTCGTGCGGGACAGTGAACATGGACGGATGACGTAACACGCGACAATGAAAAAAAGAATGGAGAAAAGCCGTTGCAACCGCTTCAGTTTTAGGTGCGGTACCAATGCTTCCACGCTTCGTGAATAATGGATTTTTGTTCGTTACCAGGAAGGGGCTATGATGTTGCACTTCTACATAGTGGCAGCAAAGTCATCCAATTAAAAGCAACTACCGGGAATAGTATCACTTACATGCGTAACTCCAGTGCCAGCCAACCGTAGCAACTTCTGCTCAGCGTAGAAACAAAAGCCAACACAATTATCAACCGATTATCTCATAAACGAGTAACATCACAGTGAGTCTAGCCGCATCTTTGTACAGACGCAATACGCAGCTATCACATTCCCTGTTATTGCGAAATATATGAATTAACTGTGTCAAGATGGCTATTACCTTGTCTAAACTATTTGACGTCCACCATAGTAAATAATATTATATATATACATATACATATATATTGTATGAAACGTCTTAAGTGGTTACCATCCCACTTGGTTGCCAGCCTTGATTTACCTTACGCGTTGCCCCAGTCCAGTCCACCTTGACCGATTCATTTTCCTTCATACTGACTGATGCGGTCGAACATCTGTAGCCTGAGTCTGTGGCTGGTCGCTGAAGTGGGACATCCAACCCACTATGAAGGTCCAATCCATTCACTGGAATGTTAGGTTTCAGCATAGGAAGGAGGGGAAATGAGGATCCCGCGGACGATGAGGTGCGGCCTCCTGTGGGAGAGAGCACACGGTTCACAGCGGGTTTTGGCCAAACAGCAGTTTCGTTGGATCTCGTCTCATTTCGTTGCAGTTCGCTTCTCATAGAGGCTTGAAACGATCCAGTCATTCCGCGGTGCCGATTGCTTCTTGCTCTTCGCAACAGTGTTGTAACGAGGAAGGTTGGGTAAAACGAGGACGGTACGGAAGCAAATATCATTTTGATGTGATCAAAATTCCCTCACCATGCTTTGCATTTCTTTGCGACATTATGGTAAAGAAACAGTATAAAAACGAAAAATTCATTTCATTACGGTGAGCATTTTACTTGTTATTCGTCATAGTAATTTGTCGTGAAGCCTTTCCGATACTTCCGGACTCACCTCGATGGATTTATTAGGACGTCCATGCTTGGCTCCCCATCACTTAAGGTTAAAACTCATGGAATGTAGAATCAACTTTATCGTACCATAGGTCTTGCATAATTTATATTCCGCGGACTAAGTTGGCAATGCTTTAGCTACATTACCCGTTCAAGCAGTATGAAGTGAATAACAGAACTAAGTGATCATGGCCAAACACACAGGTTTAGAAAGAGTACTTAATCTCACAAGTAGATCAGATAGCTGTTTTAAGGTCCTGTGCTTACTTTCGGCTAGTGGTTGGGGTTGGTTGCCTAAAGCATAACTTTATGACTAAAATGTCTTCAAGCATCTAGTTGAATGAAATGGATCAGATATTTAGGAAGGCACGATTGTGCGCTGAGTATTCCAGTATCACGCCATGGTAACGGTTCTCGATTTACATGCCTTAGTGTCGTCTAAGTACAGTTGACCAGTCAAATGGAGAATCGGGATAAATGAAACTCGCGTGGAACTACAACCTGCATCGTAAGGTTCAAGTTTTCATTGAGGAAGAGGCGAAATGCAGTATGTTACGAAGATAGCGTGCTTGTAGTTTTAAGTGATTGTCCTACACAGGTACTTACAGAAACGGCGTCTCGGCCACCAACTTGTATCCAGAGCAGTTTAGTTCAGACCTTAGGTCCCTGGTAGGTGTCTCCTGCTGCAGGTTGCAAGGTGGATTTGGCGAAGTTATTTTCGGCCATGCAGGTGTCAGTAGTTTCACATTTCTGCCTTGCAGATGGAACTCGGGCCGGTCAGTCAATAAATCTGCTTTCACTTGTCGTTGTTTTGCATTGGATCCACTTGAAATCTTGGTTCTCGTTGACTTGTTTGATGCATGCAAGATGTGAGGACCGACATCGATTGGTGCACCTAGTAGAAGATAGAAGTGATTTTGACAGCTCTGACCGGCCTATAGTTATCATTATTTAGTAGCTAATGTGTTGCACAAAACGCATGCTGGATGCGCAGGCAACTGCGTCAGGTTCCCATCGCTTGTGGGCTTTAGGTGATCGATAAGGGAAGAATTAAACAATAAATTTCCGCGGTTCAGAATGAAGCCAGTATCATAGATAACGAAAAATAATTCTGACAAGTAACTCAAAGTAATGTTTCTTGCCAACACTTGCTGTTTTTCCAAGGTACAATAACATGATAGACTGGATGGGTATCGTAAGTGATCAAATACGAATCAGAAAGCGTTGACCAATTCACTTAGCTTTGCGGTCGAATCACAGTGATAGGTGTGTCGCTGCTGAAGTTAAATGATGTGTTGCGCAAGCAAAGAATGCTATCTGCGACATCTGTTACGTCAGAAAGGGTTGCCTGCAGTCGGATAGTGTACAAGAGCGTAATGATGCCCGCTTAACTCTAGGGAAGTCAAACTTAGCTTCTTCGATCTGAGGATCCGTAGCACCCTAGAGAATGTGACAACTGTGACGTGCGACCCATTGCTGGTGTCGGATGGCTGTAACGTATCCGGAAGGACACCACAGGTATGCGACAAATGGGAGGAGGTTCAAGGTATTTCTTCAAAACGTTAAATAAGATTGAATAAGTTGCGTCGGCATGGGTAAATGTTGCGTATACTCGGTCACCGCTTAACGAAGATAGAATTGTTTCGTTTACCATCATGCCTAAGGTGCACTGTATCACGACCTAACTCGACGTTATCGTGAACAGTTTGCGCCAACTGGTTCTGACGATTCATGGAACAATAAACAATGACTTATCACGGGTTAAAAGCAAGTGCTTGGCACGTCCAGTAGGATGGTTAGGATGAGTACAAAGAAGTCAAAATATATATTAATCATCTACCGAGCGGCCACCGAGATAACTGCGATGATAACTAGCTTTAGCGTGAACTAAAAATTGAATGCAAACCTACAGAAATACACGGGGTACAATGATCGTTGACGTAAAGCGTGAGCAAAGCCAAATATGGTCGCTCAATTAAGCGCCACCTCCAATTCAAAATACCTAAAAAGGCAGACGTAAAACCGAAACTCTGACACTTCGCTTGAATTCTGCATGCACTCTCAACGGATTGCGGACTATTATAGACCAGTTAATCCCGCTTTGCGTCCTATTTCCATAATCGGAAAAAGTGTTGAAGGATATCTGACGGTTCTTGCGAATACTCTGCAAAAGCTTCGAAAGCACTAAATGCTCTGCTCTGCAGTGGATTGTTCCTTACCCATCTCAACGTAAACCAAGCAAATTCCAATCATTCGAGTCGGTATTACCAGCTTTATCCAGCAACTCCTTGGCCAGCTCCATGCCATCGGAATCTACAACTCTGCGGTACTTGGAGCCATATTTCCGAATACGACCTGTAAATCTGCTTTCCCACTATCGGACCCTAACTTCAGCGCGCGGACTATATCGCACCGACGACAGACCCTAGACGGCAACGATCGATCGACGCCACTCGACCTCGTGTGCGTCAACGTGTGAGGCAATCACCTTAACGTCAGCCTGTCAGCAACTATCAGCTCAGGACAGCACTCCCTAGACCCGTGCACAAAGACAAACGAACGGGCCTGACGAACAAGCCGCGCAGATAGAGCCCCAAAGAACTGCACTTGAACTTTAACAGCTCTCTATAACATTTTGCGTGTGCACATCCCATTTCCACTTAAAATTATCGTTACGCAGTAGTGTATCTAACTCGGTGAACGTTTGCAATAACCATTTAATTATTCGATGATCCTTCAAAGTTTAATTTCTGCTCCATCCATCCTACGGGACTTGGCAAGCACATGGTTTTATCCGTGATAAATCATTGTTCATTGTTCATAATAAAGCCAGTACTGACGCTGGCACCAGCAATGTCCACCTTGATAAGTCAATTGCGTCATCTAAGACAGGCGAAGACTGGCATCTCAGTCCTCAGCAGTCTCGTGAGAGGTTCTCAAACAGTAATAATGATGTGTCTCTAGCTAAAAATGCCAACCAGGTTGAAAATATAACGACTCAGCAGACACCTACAGACGGCACGCTAAACGTATTTGTCCCTTCTCCAAGTCACGATTGCTTGCAAAAGTTAACAGAAGCTGTACCTGCGACCTAACATGAGCAAGACAAAAACTCAGATCCTCATGTTGACATCACGAAAAAAAATCTAAATCCCATCCAAATGTAGTAAGCTATGGCCTATCTCCGACTAACCGAGGAGTTGGAAAAAACAGCGCGAAACACCCTCATATAATTTCTTGCAGATACACTCAAAGTTCAGAAGCTCTGAGGTGATCACTACAAGAACGTAGAGATATCCAGCTAAGCCAACTGAGATAATGTGTAAGTCTTCAGGCTTCCGCATGAAACACTGACACTGTTGTCGGGATAAGTCGCAAAGAGCCGGCCCAATACTTACCCACAATGACTCAGACTACGAATCTAAATCGCACAACCTCAAAATGGCAAAATCCTTCAGTGTGCGACACCGAAATAGTAACCAAAATGTTGGTAGACCACAAGAACTTACACGCAAGAGAGTGAAACCCCTAGCTATCTGAAGTCAAAACCCCCCTACTACCACCCCGTGTATTACTATGTTGGCAACAATACAATCCGAACAAAAACGATTGTATAGACTTCAGCATCCCCCCACCGCTGTATACTACGGATGTAAGTCCTTTTTTAGACCATCATACACTACCACATCCATCCCCACCAATTCAGCCACTAGCACGTGCCATCAAGAATCAGGGAATACTCAAACTACTTGAGTATGTTCTTCGTTCAAGCCAGTGTAATGTAGAGCTCATTGTGCGTCGGCTACCTCACAACACTCAGTTCTTAGGTACAGTGACGAAGGAACATACGTAACCAACACATTTTATTTCAATCTAACAATGTCTTCCGAATCTGTCGTCATTAACGTTCATAATCTTTTACCTAAATCAGCTATACTTTTAACACTTATGTTTATGAGATACCCCGATATTGCTTCTACCATTGAAACTTGGTGCACCTCGGAAATTAATGATTCTCAAATTAACATCTTAGGCTACACACTTTTCCGTAAGGATCGCTCACACAAACATGATGATGGCTGTGCCATATACCGAAATGACCTGACTGCTATTCCTGCAGATCCAGCCGTGCTCAATGACACAGAAGATACATTATGTATGGTGATCCCAGCTATGATCTTCTAGTGGGTAGTATCTATCGGTCGCCCCAAACCACTCAATGCGAAACCCAAAAGGTAATCGATATAGTCAATGCTGCCACCAGCACCCCCCCACAAGTCTAAACAAATGTGTGGAGACTTCAACCTACCACATGTTACCTGGATGCTGCCTACACTCAGGAAGTTTTCGAGGATTGAGCAAATCATCGCATGTATCCACCTCAATGGCTGGACCCAGCATGTTAGAGAGCCAACTAGAAGTGTCACCACCTTAGATCTTGTATTTACAACGGGTATCTCTTTCGCTTATATATTCATTAGTAATCCACTATGGGGCTGCGATCACAATACGGTGCTTCGTAACGTGACTACTGATTCACCTAAACCGTCAAGTAAAATGCTAAGACCCATTCTCAACCTCCATCGTGTGTGCCGGAAATCATTTACTGATCAGTACCATGAAGTGAAAGACGTCATTGTTAACTCACAATTCTACTGGGGCTGAGAATGAGTTTATTAACAATGTTGCCCTTTGTGTGGATCTACTGTCGTATGGAGAAATACCTATAAAGGTAGTCGTGAAGTCAGTCTTCTGTACAAAGCCACAACCAAACTGAAAAAACTTCGATCACTATATCGCAGGAGCAACAGCTTCGCAACGTTGATACAAATATGAGGCTCTGCTAGAACTACGACGTCTAACCCAAACTGCCAAACTCAAAGAAAAAAGTCTGGCTCTTAAAAATCCTGAGAAAGTATGTACATTGCTGCAACTAAGCAAAAACAACCTTAAACCCCAACAGGAAATTGAAACGTTGGCTCTGGACGATGGTTCAATAACGCGCGACATCGCTTGCATATTCCATGCTATCAACTAGTTTCGCCTCCTGTTTTGTCCCCAAACTCAGTTATTTCACCTTCCACTTCCAAAACAAACGAATGAGCTATGTCACAGTATCCTTGTGACGTCAAGAGAGGTGGAAAGCGCCATCGCATCCATAAAACCACTAACTCGTTTAGCCCCAGATGGCATCTCCCCAAATATTATAATACTCGGAGGAAAAAAGTCTCCACTGTTATTAAAAATCTTCATACTTTATCTCACTACTGGCTGCTTCCCATCTCAGTGGATGTAATCTGTTCATATGCATAAGCACAAGGGTGACCCGGGAAATGATGTGTCAACTTACCGCTCAATAAATCACACCTCTGCTACTTACAAAGCGCTAGAGAGTAGTCAAGAAGAACATCGTTTAATTGCTTTCTGATCAACCCCTCACAACATGGCTTCCTCTCAAAACACTCCTGTGTTACCTGCCAGCTACAATTCTTCGATCATGTCACGACTGATTAACAGAGGAATGGCAAGCATTATAATTCTGTTGAAATTGCAAAAGGCGTTCGACCGCGTGCCACATAAGCCACTGCTGTCTGATCTAAAGTTATATGGCATTGGAAATCCTCTGCTAATCTGGTTCGATTTAGACCTAAACGGTCGAACCCAGGTAGTTAGAATCGGGCAGCAATGCTTTACACCGAAACCAATAACCAGTGACGTCTTCCAGGGAAGTGTGTCTAAACCATTACTAACCTACGTGAACAACATATGCGACCCAATCAACGTAGACGCCCATTTCTGTTTGCAAATGACATCAAACTGGTCTACTCATTTCATCCAGACCAATCACAAATGTGCCATGGATGTATCTGTGAAGACCTATCCGCACTAACCATA